GGATTTCAAAATAAATTGCTAAATCTTATAATTTCAAGGCCTACCTAGGAAATTATGCTTTTTGGAAGCAATTAAGGTTTGGCAATATCAATATTCGTATTCACATTTTTGGAATCAGAATTAAAAACACTATTCATCTGTGCAAAGCCCAATATGGCATTCGTAAGAAAAAATAAAAATGATGCTGGAGGACAAGAGATGAAACGTCATATTGGAATTCTAATTAAGCCATATTGTAGAGGAGAAAAAGTCGCAATGTTAACGTGCAATTTATTTCAAAATCTCATTACATATAGTCAGGATTTTTTTACGTTATTGGCGTTTTCCTCCGTCGCCACCGGACCAGTTTTCGAAAACACCAAAGCTTTTCCGTCCCCGGCATAGTAAAAAAATTGTGCGAAAGTTTCATCAAAATCAGAGCGGTATTTCTCAAGTTATAGGCAGTTATAAGATTAGCTGACATACAGGCAGATCGAAGGAAACGATTTGTACACGTCATATAACATCCAAGAAATATTAATAGCCATGACTGTAAAAAAGTGGTATAAACCTCATATCAGAAAAAGTTCCCGAGGAAAGCTATTTAATGACGTAGAAATATACGGGATGTTCAATTTGAAATTTATGAGAAAAGGTACATGTTGTGTTTTGAGATACCTGTATAAATAGAGATATATTTTTAAATTTCTTTCATATCAGCCTAAACTCGATATGATACAATTATATCAAACTTCTTGTTTTTAGAAGCTCTATCCAAATTTGCAATAAAATATAGGGTATTTCTATTTAAAAAAATACATGTTTGATGTGGCAGGAAGTTATGAACCACCCTGCATATGTTACAGTAATTTTAAAGTATGTACAAGTAACATACCAAGGTTGCCACGAAAGCAGATTTTCGATGTTTCATAGTCGGTAGTGACTGCGGTGGTGCCGAAGCTTTTTGAAGACTAGAAGTGGAAAACTAAAAAATACAAATCGCTTAAACTTCATCGGTATGTTTGTCTGTTTGTCCACTAATCCTTGACTCTACTATAACTTGGAAAGTACCGATCGGATCATGATTTCACGTTTGAGAGTGTCCCGATCAGTTTTTAAAGAGATTCAGTGATAAAAAATTGGGGGTGGGGGCTGCAGGGGGGTTGGGTAGGGTATTTCGCAATTCTTTGTCATTCGTGTATTAATTTAAATGGTAATTCTAGGCACCTAGACATATTTCACGCACCATAAATTCCTCCAAGTTTAAAACATTAAGTCGTAAAAAAGTTAACATCCTTACAAAACAAGTTTCTTTCTAGGCTGTTCTTTACGGAGATTGCTCCTGACACATTGCTTTTGCGCGACTATCCAGAATTCGAGGGCTTCGCGTTTGTGCATATACCGGGGGAAAACTATTAGCAGTTGCTTGCAGATTAGAGGTCTTCTATCCTACTGGATCGAATCAGTCGAGAAGCTGTTCTATCTATTGAACATAATAAAGTGCTACTTTGACGAGAGGGTGCTTATAATAGGGCACAAGACGATGATGGTCACCATGGGAGTGCCGCAGAACTCCGTCCTAGGGCCGATGCTGTCGTCAACTGAGGCGGTTGCACTTTGCCATTGGAAAAATTATTATCTTAGATGACGAAAAGTATTTCACTTTGAGTAATTGTGAAATGAAGGGAGACGTTGGATTTTATACGGACAATGTAGATTAATGCCCTGACAATGTTAGACATAAACATAAGACGACATTGGCAGATAAAATTCTTGTCTGGTGCACAATTTCTAACAGGGGTGTATTCCAACCTTTTGTGGGGAGAGTGAAGGGTGAAGCTTTGAACAGTCAGAGCTATATTGATAACTGCCTTTCTAAATTGCTTCAGTTTGTCCACAAACATCATACTAATGACCATATAATGTTTTGGCCCGACCGAGCATCATGACATTACTCAAGAGATCCTCAAAACTTGCTTCGACAACACAACATACCTTTTGTTCCCAAAAACGATAATCCACCAAACTTGCTGCAGGCTCGCCCAATAGAGGATTTGGGCTTTAGTATCTAGGAAGGTTTATCATGGAGGCTGGGAAGCCCAAGATGAAGAACAATTAAGACGGCGAATTCACGAAAAACTAAGAGAAATTGATCTGAATTCCGTGCAGGGCCTCATGAGAGACATTCGAAGAAAGATGCGTCTGGTAGAGCAGAATGGGCCACTACACATAATTCGATAGTATAGTTTAGTTAAGTATTGAGTTGTAATTTACGTGTAAATTAGTTGGTGTTTAAATAAATTTCTTCATTAAAAAAAACGATAAATATTTTGTGCTAAAACTATTATGACATACGTTACCTGTTATGGTCATTCAGCTTCGGAAAATCATCCAAATTTTACTTTACATGTAACAACAGCTCGCAAATGTATATGGATGGCAAAGTTAGTATTCCCAGCTGTTTGAAAGAAACTCTACAGCTAGACCTTCTGCTCAGAACTTGAAGTAATGTGATATTTCTGCAAAAAAAAAACATCTCAAATGATTCTTATGCAGCACGTCGTGTATCTTAGCGCTTTACATAAAAATATCAACCACGGTAAATTCACGAAGCATATTCATCCTCAAGATTTTATAAGCCGTTATGCTAGACGCAAATTACGTAACTGTCTCAATTTTCCAGGTCATGCGAAAAAGTTGTCTAGTGGGTAATGAACTGGTGTGAAAAATGGATTATACCGCTTCTTGTTTCAGCCTCATCCAAAAATGGCGTCAAGTAGGTTAACTCTGCCCTCTCTACACATCGCCATCATCAGTTCATGAGGGTTTATGTTTAGCACAAGTTAAACCCTCTGAGAAAAAGATTAGTTACGAACATGTACAATTCAGAAACTTAACGGATAGATATTATTTCCCTGTTAAACTCGACCTAACTTAGGGCCGTATCGTCAGTCGTTCCTACAATTGCAGGACGGCTTTATGACCTCTTTGATTCCATAGTTTTCTACTGTTCCGTGCCACCGCTATATTTTGAGGTTATGTTACAAATATCTATTTGCATCAAATTGCTCATGCTTTTGATTTCTATCATCTGTTTTATCAGGCTAAATTTTCCTACCATTCATAAAGAAAAAATAACTAGAAGAGCGCTGTTGCTGACACGGAACAGTAGAAATCCAGAAGTACCCCAGCCGTTCTGTTATGTATCCATCAAAGAAAGAGACTAAACCTAAACATATTCATGTATACTCCACGTGATTGCGCTTCAGACCGCCGAGCACGTTACAGGGCCGTACTAAGAATAAATGATTTTGTAGCTATACGACACGATCAAAAAATATGCAAAATTATTGCAACCATGTATAGGGTCCAAACGTAAAGCTTGGAATAATTAATATTTTTTTTTAATTTAACTGTCATGACAAAAAAAATAACTGTCTATTATTGTTTTCAGTAGAAGTGTTTTATCAAGAAATTATGTGTCGTAAGGCGCATTTTTAAAGCAGGCTTTCAAAAAATGTCTTGACACATTAGAAAAATAATTGCACATGCGTATACCTTACCACCGCTTGAACAGGTACGTCAGTGTGCAAACAGTCAATTTCAATGAATAGATAAATGGGATTAAAAAAAGGATTTGAATACATAATAATATAGGTATACTAAATAGTTATTGCAAAAACATTTTACCTCTGAAACCAGAAATACATATATTTGAAAATAAAAATCATTCTAGATCTGAGGCCGTGGAACTTGCACTGTCATCAAGATTTATGATTAAAGGGGCAACCGTGCATATCAATGATACCGACTAATCCCCTCATTTTAGGTTCGACCTTTTCTTTTACAAGCTGAATACATTTTTCCCACTTATCGGTGTTATTCTTTGTACAGCATCATTGAAAATATTTTTAAGATCAGAAAATTTAAAAGTTTTATTTTCTGCTGCAACATATTTATTATGTTTGCCCAAATGAGCTCAATCAGATTGAGCTCACAATGGTAAGGAGGCAATAGTAAAACAGTTTTATTTTATTTTTTGGCCATTTCATCAATTATGTTCAGGTTATATTTATTTTTATGCGCCTCGACAATTTGTAACAATTCTGCCTTAACCATTGTATCATCATAACCAATCTTTTTATTTTTAAGCCATACGTGAATTTCTCATTTTTTTGTTGACGTTGTTGGAATTTTCTCTAATTTTCTCGTGTGGTGTGAAGAATTATCCAGTACTATAATCGAATTATCTTCAAGCTTCGGTAGAGTATTTGAGAACCTATTTTCGAACGAGGCTCCACCCATTTCTTCATGGTAGTCTTACGTTTTTTTTTTGGATTCAAATGCCCATAAAGCATCGGACACAAATCCATCTTCATTACCGATGTGGCAAATTATCAATCGCTTCCCTTTTCCTGAAAATAATTCATTTTGAACCGCTCCCATTTGAAGCACTATTAATCCTCCATCAGTGTCGGTGTTAGAAAAAATCTAACAAAATATAATTCACTACAGAGTTCTTATTAAAAATTAGTATTATAGCCTTGAGACTCCTGGAATGCCTCATTGGTGTCGCTAGGCAACATCTATGCATAATTCGCGTGCAAATAAAGTAAATAGTCATCTTGAAGTTGATAATTTTAGTATATATCTAACGCGCGACCGATCACGTTGTTCAAAAGTGTTAGCAAGAATCTTACGGTGCGACCTATCCTGTATGTGATTTTTTCGATAATCTTGGTAAGTTGAACTGTCACGTAACTAATACAAAAGAATAATTTTAAATATTGCTAAGGGCTCAAAGCTCATTTTTTTTGTGGCGTTGCTTTGTCAAACTTTTTGATTTTACTGATAATAAAGAATGATTATGATTTTGATATGTCTGTCACGTTTTCTCGTTTTCTATGAATTCCTTGACATAATTTTTATCATATTCTTGGTTAGATTTTATTTTGTCTTGTAAATAAATATACGGCAGGTCAAATTTCGTCAATAATTAGACTCATTATTGGTCTTTCCAGATATGATTTCACCAAGAGCAGAAGCCAAATGGCAGCAATGGTACGAAGAAGTTGAATCAGATGTAGGGTCTGAGTTAGACATAAATGACGCTGCCTCTGAACACAGTTTGCATGATACTAACACGGAGCAATCCTCGGACTCTGATGACGAGGATATTTGTTTACCTTTATCTCTATCTGCTTTGAAGAAAATACTGCATTTCACTGGAAAGGATGGCACACCATGGAAAAACTATACCAAGACGCGCATTCATTACATCTTTGGCAAAAGAGCTTATAAGACCACACATGATGAAACGAGCTCCCCTTACAAATATTTCTTTTCCTCTTGGACAAAAAATTCGATCGATTACTGGCATTCAAAAGAAAAATACACCCCCACAGAATCCAGAGCAGAAACCAAGGTGCGGATATTGCCAAAAATAGATTTACACAACATAAGTGTGACCGCTGTCAAACACCTATCTGTGAAGAGCATACCTTATCAACTATTTTTATTTGTAAAGAATATAATGATGTTGGAGAAGAGAATTAGATTCTTATTTCCTCTGTTTATCATAACACATAAAAGTTAATTCTATAGTTAGATTCTTATTTTCTCTGTTTTTAATAAAATATATATATAATACCATTTAAAAAATATTGCTTATATTCCAAAAATATAGAAAATTAACTTTTTAGAAAAAATCTAATTGCGCGCCTTATGTTAGATAACGTCTATACACGCGACCGATGACGTTGTTTGAGGCCGCGCGACGCCTGGAGGGTTAAAAACCCAACAAAATGATTACTTGATTTCTTATCTCGATATAGTTTAAGCATGTTCAAAAACAAAAATAAAATATGATTTTAGTTGAAATTCCTCAACTTACAAGTATTAAAAAATATGTAGGTGTCAGTCAGCGCAATCATACCAGAAATACGTACGTATGTGCTTTGAAATATTACCTGAGGGATTTTTTAATCCAGTGGACAGACCATCCAAGAACGCTTGCTATGAAGATTTTATGGAAGAATCCATCCAAACCTTCGCCTGTGTATGTCCTGCGTTGACCCATGTTTCATCTAGGTACTATATTTTTCTACCTTCTGCACGAAATCTTCTCATTTGTCTTAGATAGTTCCTTCTCCAGATAACTATTTCGTCTTTTTCCCCGGTTTTTGCATTGGAACCCCATTTCTTTTAATAATTTATGGAAGGTGGATCTCTTAAAACTTGGCAAGTCATTATCCTCGTTAAAAAGCTTTAGCACTTTATCCACCGTTGGTGATTCATAACGAAAGAAAAAATTATGTACAATTCTCCTTATAGCGGTTCTGTCGAAATCATCTGTGGCATCGTTGATTTTTTTTGGCGGATACTTTTTTGGGTCGACCAGTGAATAGTTAGATCTGTACTTCCGACTACTACTTGCACGACTAACGCCCGAAATACTTGCTGCTCTGCAAACAATGTCCTGAACACTTGAGTCACTCCTTCCTTGCATTTCGTGTTTATGAATGTTGAGAATCATTTGTTTTTCGCTAACGCTAAAATGAAGCCTTTCAGCTCTTTTTTTAGGCGGTGTACAGCTAACATCAACAACTTCATCAGCTGTATCCGCATCAGACATGTTGAGTTCTACGAAATTAAACTGACAAATCTCATAAGCACACAGTAATACCGGTAAAAATCTGATGCCAACTCTGTACTGTACTATATAAATATATATATACGTATATATATATATATATATAGGTGAAAAATTAAAGCTTCCGCCTTTTGTTGGGTACTTCGACAAAATTTAAGCAAAGAGGACTCTTTATACTTTTTTTAATTCTCTCTAGCTTTCAATGGACTTTGCCGTCATCATCAGGAGCTGCAATTACAATGATAACAGTAGTAACAATAATGTAAAATAAATTTAAATTGACTTAACTTACCGTAGTATGTGAGGATGTTGCTAATTGTTGTTTACGTTTAGGATGAGGGAAACGCCCAGTAACATGGTGAAAGCTGGATAGATGGTACAATGGTCAAAATTATATAAAATATACACAATTGTGTGACAAGAACAAGTTAAAAACAGATTAAAAATTTTTTTAAAAACATGAAAGCATTACATCGTGAAGCCACTTGATGATTGCACAAAATGGTGGTGGTGTATGTCTGCAATCATCAAGTGGCTTCACGATATAATGCTTTTTAAAAAAAAAATTAATCTGTTTTTAACTTGTTCTTGTCACACAATTGTGTATATTTTATATAATTTTGACCATTGTACCATCTATCCAGCTTTCACCATGTTACTGGGCGTTTCCCTCATCCTAAACGTAAACAACAATTAGCAACATCCTCACATACTACTGTAAGTTAAGTCAATTTAAATTCATTTTACACTATTGTTGCTACTGTTATCATTGTAATTGCAGCTCCTGACGATGATGGCAAAGTCCATTGAAAGCTAGAGAGAATTAAAAAAAGTATAAAGAGTCCTCTTTGCTTAAATTTTGTCGAAGTACCCAACAAAAGGCGGAAGCTTTAATTTTTCACCTAACTGGTATAGACGACAATGACCACGTCTCAAGTTATATATATATATATATATATATATATATATATATATATATATATATATATATCATTAACGGCCGGCCATGGGGCCAGGCTGCATGCACGGTCTCCCACTCCTCACTCCACCCTCCGATTTGCCATTGGTTCTTTATAAGGGCTCGACTTATTCTCTCTCTTTCTTCGATACATACATAATAGAGGGAAAAACTATGAAAATCAAGGAGGGCATAAAGGTGTCCTACAATTATTCTAGAAACGACTGACGATACGGCCCCTAGGTTAGAATAGCACATGGTATATGAAACAATCAAAACAAATTAATTTGTTTTAGGAACACGCTGTTTTAAGCTAACGGTTTTTGTTTCCTTGCGAACGCGATCTAGTCACCCAAGTCATAGATATTGAATGACCGTTATAGGTTATTAGTATAAAAAATGTCAAATTGTAATACTCAAAAGCTTTCACATACGTTTATATTCCAGGATTCGTTCGTACTAGGTTGGAATATTCTGAGTTGGAGCGCCAGTTTATGTTGGAATGTTGCCGAAATAATAATAACGAAATAGTCTACTTCAGAGTGATGTGTGCTAGATATTCAATAGCTCTCGTCACTGAAAACATAGTGAAAAAAATTAGATATTCGACATTAGATCTGTGATGGGGGGTATTCAAAGACTTTCCGCAAACAACATCCTGTATCTTTGAAACAGCTGAGCCGATTTTAGCGAACTTGGGCTAGTTGAAATAAGCTATTCTTGGGATACAAATGTTATAATATTTGAAGTTTTGTTAGATCCACATGTGGCCGCTAGAGGACTTTTTCGACATTCCATCAGAAATGGTTAATTTTCTCAGTAAAATTAAATGCATTGGTATGATTTATTTTATGAAAAAGTAGCTTAATGATGTCTAAGCAAACTAGAGAAAATCGCATCTCGATATCTTGTTCCTAACCTAAAATTTAGGCAAAAGAAAATTTTATACGAAATTTTAATTTTTTTAAACTAATTCTTCTGGAATTTATTTTTATTATTAAGAGAGAAATATTTTTAATGCCCCCGTGAATGCTCGAAATGCTGACCATCACGCTCTATGCATTCCTGAAGCTACTCATGGCTAGATAAAACTGCATTTCGAATCCAGTTTTTGATATATTTTCTGGTTGTATAAAAATCAAGACAAGTTAAATCTGGTAATCGCGACGGCCATCGAAACAGACTCTCTCTTCCAGTCACATCTGTTGAAATACTGCTCTCGCACAATAATAGCAAAATGCCTTGTTTCCAGTATTACATGTTCCAACAGCAACGGTAATTGATTGTCCAAAAACTCAAAAAAGACATTGCCATTTAGGAATTGCTCCAATAAATACTGCCCAACAATTATGCCTCCCTCCCAGTATGGGACACCATACATTAAAATTCCAACGCGCTTGCTGCTGAGCTTCAGGCAGCCAATGTGTATTTTCTGCAGACCAATAATGCATATTGTTCAGATTGACTCTCTCGTCACTATTAATGGTGGCTTCATCGGTCCAAAGAATTTTAAAAAAATCTTCTATTTTCCCGTATCATGCCTAAGATCCAATGGCAATAGTCCACCCTGCGATTAGAATCTTCCTGTTTTAAGGATTGATGCAAAACGACATGGTATGGGTGCATTCTAAGAGTAATTAAAACAAAGATAAATTTAAACGAATTTCTATATTTTGATGGCCATTAGAACTTACCTATGGTCCTTCCAAATATTTTGAACCGTTCTTGATATGCCCAACTCTAGGGATTATACTTAATATCAAGAAGAAGGACATAGCAAGAAGGAACTGGAAACGTGACGGTACTAAGTTTTCTTATGATCAGTTCAGTAATTTTAGGAAGCTCATTAAGAACCAGATCAGTGTTGCCTACTCCGCTTACGTCCAATCGGTTGAGGATCCCATTGTCAATGATCCTAGCAAATTCTGGTCATTTGCCTAGATCAAAAAACAGCAATCTGGAATCCCCCCAAGGGTGACGCTTAACGGCAATGTCTGCGATACGCCTCAGGATATAGTGAACAGTTTTGCTACCTTCTTTTCAACAGTTTTTATCCCGTCTGGTCTACTAGGGTCATCTCCTCCAACAAATAATTCTACCGATATCATTTCTTTAAAAAATAAAGGGTTGTGCGATAGGGACGCAGGAAAGTAAACGTCAATTTGACATAGACGCCATCTTTGTTTTCTGTCACCGACATGTCATTTTGTTAGTTGAGTGTTTACCATTGATCGCTATGGAGTCGTATTCGATTGAAGATCGCATTAAAGTTATTCAAGAGTACTACAAAAATGGTGCAAAAATAAAAAACACGTTTTGCGCGCTTCGTGAACATTTCGGTCGCAACAACCGCCCAAACGAAACACCCATCGGTCGTCTGGTGCGTAAATTCGAGGCAACAGGTTCTGTAGCAAATCTGCCAGGCTCTGGCCGGCCAAGGAGCGTTCGCACACCGGAAAATATTGCTGTTGTGAAGGAGAGTGTGAGAGACGATCCGAAACAATCAACAACGCGTCGATCCCAAGAATTGGGCATTTCGAGATCCAGTTTGCTCCGCATTCTCCACAAGGATTTGAATGTACACGCCTACAAGATCCAACTGACGCAAGAGCGCCATTTTTCGCGCCGAACGTTCTCAGATTGGCTCCTTGAACACCGCCAAATTGATGCCAATTTTTCATCAAAAATCATGTTCAGCGACGAAGCGCATTTCACTTTGAATGGGACGGTAAACAAGCAAAACTGCCGCGTCTGGGCAAACGAAAATCCCCGTGAGTATCAAGAGCAGCCGATGCATCCTCAAAAAGTGACTGTGTGGTGTGCATTGTGGTCAAAAGGCATCATCGGACCTTACTTTTTCGAAAATGCGGCCGGGGACGCCGTTACCGTCAATTCTGAGCGATATTACGTGATGATAGAGGACTATTTTTTGCCGCAACTTGAAGGAATGGATGTGGACGATGTTTATTTCCAACAAGACGGTGCAACATGCCACACAACCAACGTCAATATCCATCGATTGCAGTCCTTCTTCGGTGATCGCGTGATTTCGCGCAGAGGAAATGTGCCATGGCCACCAGGATCGTGCGATTTGACTCCCTTGGACTTCTTTTTATGGGGATATTTGAAAAGCAAAGTCTACGTCAACGAACCAGCCATCCTTCAAGAACTCAAAAACAACATCATTGCCGAGATAAATGCCATAGAACCGACCATGTTGCAAAATGTCATTGAAAATTTCGACCATCGCGTGGACGTCTGTAAATCCAGTCGTGGTGAACATTTGAGCGATATTATTTTTCATACATAAATGGTATAAATGAACCTTCAAAATAAAGTACCCAACTTGATTTGAATATCAATCTTTCTTGTTTTAATATGGGTTTACTTTCCTGCGTCCGTTTTGGACAACCCCATATAAGTGAAGAAAACGTAATTAGGGCTTCGAAAAGATTAAAGAACAAAATGACGTCTGGATGTGATGGTATTCCAAGTTGTTTCGTTAAAGATTGCATTGATATACTAGCGAAACCGCTGGCTTCCATATTCAACCTAATTCTAAAATCAGAGACATATCCAAATATCTGGAAGAGCTCTAAAATATGTCCTATTCACAAAAGTGGAGATATCTCTGATATTTCCAACTATCGCCAAATAGCAATCCTGTGCAATTTCAGCAAGTTGTTTGAGATCATCGCTTATGAAACGGTTTACTGCTCGGTCAGGGGTGCAGTCTCTATTAATCAGCATGGGTTTATGAGAGGCAGATCTACGGTCACCAACTTGGCTCTAATTACTCAGTACATTTCTGAAGTACTGGACGGTCAGGGACAAGTTGATGTCATCTACACAGATATTCAGAAGGCGTTTGATCAAGTTGATCATTATGCACTTCTGGATAAGCTTAAAACAGTGGGTATGTCTGATGCAATGCTGTCGCTCTTGAATTCATATTTGAGGGATAGAAGATTATTTGTCGAACATGGTGGTCATAGGTCGAGGTTACTATCGGGCCACGTCCGGGGTACCTCAAGGGTCAAATCTAGGTCCATTATTGTTTTTGATATTTATTAATGACTTGTCCTTTGAACTGAAGTGTTTCCATTTGTTTTTCGCTGATGACCTTAAAATCCGCACGTCAGTCAAGACAGGCGAGGATTGCGTCATGTTGCAAGATGACTCAGCTCTAATTTCGTCATGGTGTTCACGAAACTGTCTCAGTCTGAATGTTTCGAAATGTAAAGTTATGACTTATACAAGAAAGGTTAACTATTTAATTTATGATAATTATAACATCAATGGTCAGGTTATAGACAGATGCACCTCTTATAGAGACCTTGGAGTCACTTTTGATACCAAGCTAACGTTTATTGAGCATATACTCAATATCTCGTCGGCTGCCACTCGACTACTTGGTTTCTGTATCAGAAACTGGAAGGGTTTCTCCAATGTTGATACATTAATGACTTTATTTTTTACTTTTGTCAGGAGCAAGTTGGAGTATGCTACTCTGATCTGGTCTCCTATATACCAAAATTCTGTCGTGATCCTTGAGGCCATTCAACGTAAAGCTTTGAAGTATTTTCACCTTAAATGCACAGGTTCTTATCCTCAAAAGAGGTTGTGACCATAGTGCCCTATTAGAGTTTTTCAATTTAGATTCACTGTCAACAAGATGAAACATATTTGCTTTGCCGTTTTTGTATGGCCTCATTCACAATAAAATTGACTGTCAAAAATTTATTTGAAAAATATGTTTAGGGAGTCGACAACAAACGGCATTCTATTGTCAAGCTGGCCGTACAAATGTTATGACAAAATCGCCAATTAATATCATGTGCTGCGTCATGAACAGTGTTACTGAATCGTGTGTTATTTACAGTGACAGTTGTGCATCGATTATTAACTGCTATACCATGTCTCTTTAATTGTTATTTTTTTCAGCATTTCCTGTAATTGGGTTTCACCTGTTGGAAATAAATAAATAATGCCCTTGAGCTAATATGATAATTACCTTCGATATAACTTTCCAATAATCGGGGAAAAACTCTCACGCCGATTTGGATATCGAGTCGCGTAAACTCTTTTTGCTACTGCAGCATTCTGAAGACATTCAAAATAAACTGCAAGCATATCAACAGCTTCATTGTTCGTAACACGCACAAAAATTGCTCAAAGTAATGCGAAATTATTGACAATTTGAGGATTATTTATGTTTTGATTAGATATTTGTTTCGTCGTATTCTATGGCCTGCTTCTATTAATTGTCTTTTTCGTATTATACTCATAGTGAATATGCATTTAAACATAAAATATACATTACTTACTTACCTTTTAGTGATATTTTGTAATATTTTCAAAAAGGGTGATTTTATTCTGAATCTCAATCTCTGTACATACATCAGTCCCTGGTTGAAGTTTAATTCGTCACATAATCTCTTTGATCCAATTCTTGAGACTCTTATTTTTAAGTGTAATACAGGATACAAAAATTTCAACAATAAAATTGAGATTTGAAAGTCATAAATATTGCTCATGACTCTTGATATGGTCATAAAACACCTGAGATACTTATTAGGTGAAATTAAGGAATTCTGACTATTAATACAATTACGTTACTAAGGCCAGCAATTTTTCTCGTCTAGACCATCCAAATCGTCTGAGGAATGTAAATATGTTTTTGTTTGTATTGGACAAAGACATAATTCAACGAAAACTATTAACTCATTTAGTTCGCCAGTGACGCACTAGCCATAAACGCAATCTATTGCTAATTTTTTACATCTTGGATAATATTGACTTGAAAATAATATTTTTGGAAATTGGAAAGTACCTCGCCTGTTCCATCTACATCAATGTAAAGTTACCTGCGGTTGTTTCAAGAAATTTATTCATGTTGAATTTCGATAATATTAACCGTTTTTCAGAAAAAATATGCGTGGTTTTTCAGGTCGCTGATGACCGATCTGTTATGAGAATTACCAAGTGTTTAAAACGGGGGAATAAGTATCCGGAATCGGTTCCATATTTTATAAAACTGTACCAAAATAATAAGGCGGCTTAACTTCAAAACGGTCCATTATATCCCTCCTCCTCCCCCCCCCCCCTGTTACGAATATCTTCCTGAACATGAGTCCTGTGACCTCCCCCTTTAACAAATGCTAGATCCGCTCTTGGCAGTATCTGACTAGATCCGTTTAGAACACTACTTATCTCCATATCTATCATTGTCCTATCTCTTCTTAAAAAGCGAAGGCTGATCCAAACATCCCATTATGGATTTTGCCATAGAGAACGGTGGCTTACCGGAGTTTGTTCTGAAATGAAAATTTTCATGCGTCATATTTTATCATGTTGTAGATATTTCGACATAATCATACTCAGACCATTATAAATCCTGCAAAAATCTGGATTTTTATCGTTACCAGAATCTAGTCAATTTAGTGCAGCTTCAAAAATATTTGTCATACAAAGGCTACATAACAATGAGTGTATATTATTGCAAGCAATACAAACTTGGGCTTTTTTACTATTTTTAGGAAATATGTGACGGACATTACATTACCTATTGTTTATAATAATGATACAGCTCTTGAAATTTATGTGAAACTGATAGTTTTTTCTTTTTCAGGTGATCATGAGGCACTCAGGCCTAGTTGGTCTGTTCATGCTATGTCTGGCTACGGTGTCTACAATGCCTTCGGACACCGTCACCTCAAGGTATCCAGAATACACTAGGTTCCTTTTAGATCCTTTATCAAATTTATTGCGCCCTAATACCACTTCGTCTCTTATTTTAAGCGATACTCCCAGGGAGATCTCAAAACACAACCCTATTATCAAAAATAATAAGTCTAGATTAAGAAAACATAAAAACAAGATCAAAGGTAACTTGGTAGTCAAAGGTACCAATAGAGTAAATGTTATTTCCGACACAAGTAAAAATTCGAATCACAAAGTAGTTACTATGAAACCTATTCGTATACAGTTGACTACACGTCATATCACGACAAGTAACCCGCTCGTTAGTACAACTATGAATAGTAGCACTTTGTACAAAAACAAGAACAATACGACATTTCCAACTGATGCACCGTTCAGGCTCAAGGTTACAAAGCCCGACGAGTATCTAAATGGTACATCAATAACACCAACTTTCATTAAAGTCACTACAAAAACTAAAGAAAGGTCAACAACTCCTTTCCCTTTGGTATCCTTAAAATCTACAAGCAATAACATTTACACAAAATGGTCGGATGAGCCTAACTACAATGAGGTGAAACAAAACTGGTACGAAGAAGGAGTGCCTTACCCTAGCCCTAATCCCGAAATTAATTCCCCTTCGCCTAGTGTGTCTTTGAGTGAGCTGAGCTCGGTAACTCCGTCTTTGGTTAGTCAAGAAAGCTCCAGTCCAATAGAAGGTGCTGTAGCAAACGATGCATTTCCAAGTGTCAGTCCTTCTCCTGAAATCAGTTCTTATTCTCCTCAATATTCTATTGCTGATGCTGTTCCTTCAGCAATACCAGAAACATCTGCTAGCGATTCTGTTGGCTCTGCTGCTTTGGATGCAGCTAGTTCCAATCCAATAAGTGTCTTCAACCTGGATATGATTCCGGATGCTACTAGAATAGGGGAAGGTGCGGGATCACCGTGCCCCACAGTTCATATTTCTAGTTCTCTGTTTGGGATTCCACAGCAAAGGCAAGCGCCAGACTGTTCTGATTTAAGTCTGACAATCAATTCCCACATTCACCAAAATCCTGGTAATACCAGGACCCCAGAAACATACCAGGCTGCTGGAGATCCTGCAGGAGGAGCTCCTGTCGAAGAAGCTGCAGATCCGGCTACTTCTGTAGGTACAGCGCAAGATGCACCTATAGGAGCAGCACAAGATGCTCCCGAAGCATCCAATCCTGCATCGGCTAACACAGGTGGCATTCCAGGCGCCCAATCTGGTGGCACTGGTGGAAACGGTGGTAATGGAGGGGATGGTGGTGACGGAGATGATGGTGGGGGGTGGAAATTCCCAGATTTGAAGGGGCTCTTCGATGCCCTTGGGCATCTATGGCCCATACTCAATCGTTTGCTGAGTTTCTTCAAGAACCCTTACTTATACGTTGTACCGATGGCGTTAGCCTTCATACTCGGTTTTATCAAAATAATCGCTTTGTTTCCATGGTGGATACCATTGTTGGTCTTCTATGTAGGTCTGAAGTCTGCAAAGAAACCTACGCAGCAGATTGCAATCTACAAGCACGTCCATAAACCAGTATATCATCCAGATGGGTGGTTTTGGAATCACCAGACTAAAACATGGACGAACGTTGCAGAAGTGGGCCTTCATAAAAAGGATGCGGATGTTAACAGTATTGATGCTAGGATAGATAAACTGTTCAATGGTCACTACAACAATTCTACTCGTAATAAAACCAGCAAAAGGGGTGTTAACAGTATAGAAGCCAGGATTGACAAACTATTGAGTAGTACGAATATCAGCAATTTTAATACGACCAGAAAAGAGGAGGCGAATAGTTTAGAGGCCAGGATAGATGGACTGTTGAATGGCCACCGCCATCATGATAATTATAAGACTAGTAGAAAGAAGAAGTTAATGTAACATTTGAAACATGGTCTGTGGTTTTCATGTCGATAATCCCCGATGTTTGTCTAGCCAATGAAACCACATACTGGGTGGTCCAACAAAAAGGTCGCACTCCTATTTGTGAGTCTCCTGGTATATTTTGGGAAAAATGCTCGAACACGTCAATTTTGATTTCCTTTCATCTATATACAACGTGATCCAAAAATAAGGTATTTCGTTAGATTTTAGATTTTCCATGAAGTTTTTACTAACTTTTCTATAATAAAGTCTTCAATCGTTGTGGAGCTATTTGAGTTTATAATACGAGTACAATTCTACAAATTGTGATAATAAGGCATTATATCGTAAAAATAATATAGTTCCGATAGTAACAAGACTTACTTTAAAATTAAAAACAAGTATCCGAGTATTAAAAAAAAAAAAACAAAAAACAGCTCACAGTTTACACGGACACTAAGTTGAAGCAAAAATTAGTCTGCTATAAAGAGGTAGGCCAATGTGATAATAAGTACTGAAAGTTCTGTCTATTTATCTCTATGCATCAATAAAGATTTGATTCGAATCTATTCCTCACATTTTCAAGCATGTCTTGAGTTGTTTGTCTACATTCAGCCGTAATCCGCTGACGAAGAACTTGAATGCAATCTGGCTTCGTACCAAAAACTTTTCAGAAGCCCCCAAAGAAAGTTAGACTTGTGTCCGGAGATCTCGGCGGCCACTTGATGGGGCCTCGTCTGCCGATCCATTGATTTGGGAAATGGGTGTCCAAATATAATTTTCATTATAGTTAACGTCATTTTCTATTATTTCGATATTCGTGACTCCTTTGTATTTTCTAACATTTACGAATACGTCTCGCCCGTCAAGTTTCCAGGAATAAAGAAAGGTCCTACAATATGATTTCCAAAAATGCCGGCCCATATATTTATTTATTCAGAATATTGCGAGTGTATCTCTCGAAACAAATGTAGATTCGAGTCACTCCAATATCTATAATTATACCAGGAGAGTCACAACAGAGGGCGCGACCTTTTTGCTGGGCCACCCTGTATATTGGAAATTCTCCTTTAATATGGTAAACGTTTGGGTAACAACGGTGACCTTCCTGAGTACATGACACTTTTGGACAATATTGTATGTATCTTTCTCCCCGGTGACACTTGGTTTTGTTTCTTCTTTTCATTCACATATTCCTATACAGTGTGTTTACTACAGTAGTCTGAAAGGTCCGTAACATGCCGAGATTGCACGAAGTCATTATTCCAAATATTAAGATGGCACCATGCAAAACCAGCATAGACCACGACAACACAACACGGTTCCCTTTAAGTGTCGAATTATTATTTCTATCGTTTCAGATGCGTAAACAATGCAGTTACATTTTAGTAGAAGATTGCATAAGTTATTAGATCTGGGCCTTTTTAGGAGGGCTTTTCACGTTTTCGGAACTATAGTCGAGGGTGACATATCTGGTACATTAAAAAATCGACAGACAACTTCATACTTGCTTGTCGTTTTGGCGGCTAGACGCCATTTTGGATGCGGGAATGCCTTCCCTAAGCGGTCCTGGATTATGCTAGCATGGCGTAGGCTATACCGAGTGACAATGAAAATTGGATACACTCTGTAGTTTGTTGGCAAATAAAGATATCGCTTCAAGATTGGGACATGTTTAGTTAGTCATTTCTGGAAAGTTGAATGGGTTATCTCTCTCTTCCGGTTTAACCAGAAGTGACCCTTGACTTTCGCGGAGAGGCGAGAGTAGTCGGACATCGACTGAGGAGTCAGGGCAGCTGGGCCTTCTTCATTCCCGTCAAGTGTCATACTGCCATCCTGGTCGAACTGCAAAGGGAGGATCCTGTCCTTCTGAGCAGGAGCGATGTAGTTACCCCTAAGTATCGCTTCAACCGCATGTTTAATGTGGAGTATCCAACGAGGGAGGAGTGGGACGCCGGCTACCGGAGGCTCACTGGAGTGAGTGTGCAAGTCTGGTACACGGACGGCTCGGTCACCGAAGAGGCCTCTGGCGTCGGGGTCTCGGGGCCTAGGACTAGGCTATCTCTGCCTCTTGGTGGATACACCAGCCTAGGAGAAGGATGGCAATCTTCTCCGACACCCAGGCTGCAATGAAGGCACTAAGTGCCTGTAAGATTACTTCGAGCCGGGACATGCTGGGATAAAGGGCGATGAGACGTCGAAAAACAGAGAAGTGGATTGCAAGACAACACTCTCAGAAATGGAGAAGCATCTCCAGACACCTAAATCAGACACGGGAACTCATTGCAGGACCCAACGCTAAGGACGGACGTTTTTGCTTATCTTGGGATAGAGCCAACCTAAGCACATTAAGGCGCCACGTGATAGGGGTGGCTGAGGATCCCTTGTGTGAGCGCTGCGGGGTAGAACAGGAGACCTCGGCGCACGTTCTGTGTCGCTGCGAGGCTCTTAGCTGCTACAGGCCGACTATACTGGGGTCCATCACTTTGGACCCCCAGGACATTAAGGAGCTTGGGCTCAAGGCCATACTGGACTTCGCTAGAAAGGCGAGGCTTGAGATCTAAGAAATGTGGAGGCGCACAAGGGCCCGCCTGAGTGGCCTATGCGCTGGCTCCTTATGGTGGCCGGTATGCCTCTAATTTCGTGTTTTCATTCATTCATTCATTCAGGCCCAAATGAAAAAATCAGGCCCCTCTTATCAAACGTGGATTTTCAGTTGCCCAGTAACGTGTATTATTTTTATTAAATAACCCAATATTAGTGAAACGCGTTTCATCAGACCACAAAATATGATGATGAGAATTTCTATCTTCTTGAACTTGAGCACGAAACCAATAACAGTAGGTCAATTATCTTGGAAAATCATTTTCATATAAGTGATGGTGTGCCTGAGCAGAATCAATGTTTCTTCAAAATCTGCCTAGCTGACTCACGATTTCTATTTGTTGCCTGTTCCAGTTGCCAAGTAGATGTTACCTTTGGGTCAAAGTAACCATATGGCAAAACATTTATCTTCACTTACTACAAAAGGGTTCTTCATCACCATTTCTAAACTTTGCCTCTAACTTGAAAAAGTATGAATAACTTGGATGTTTTCTATTAGGATATCGCTGAGCATACAACGCATAAGCATATCTAGAATTTTTCTAGTAAAACTCATAATAAAAAATACTTTAGGTTCACCTTTTATGGAATAGTGAAAATAAATTTAAGTGAAACGAAGATTGGCAAACGTCAAATAACTAAACAATAATGGGTACGCTATAAATTGACATTCATTTGTCTTCCACAACCTACTATTCTTTTCAAATAGATGCTATTTGAAAACATCCTAATTTTTCATAGCCTCCTTACTTTCTTGCGGCAATTGATAGCTTCTATGAAACAGTTGTAACTTTAATTTGTTACTAAACCGATGTTACCTTGCATAACATCATGCGTTTTAGCGTTAGAGCCAATATTAAAAAAAAATTGTTTTGTAAACCCCATAGCTTATGGAGGCTAATTGACAAATTCTATTATGCAGCTGTCATTTGACAACAAAAGTAATACTTGTTTTACATCATTGAATAGAGAACATTACGTAGAATAATATTTATGAAAAAGTTATACAGGGTCCTATTCAAAATCTATCGGAAATCCTGTGTTGAAGATGTGAATTCCTGATTTTTTAAATAAGTATAGAGTAAAGTGGGAGAATATGGCAACATAAATTTCAAAAGCTCACATTCGAACAAGCAACCAACCCAACCACAAGAAGAAGGCGACATCTTAGAGCGTGTATATTTGAGTACTCGTATGTGACGTGAAATGCTCGTTGACATAATCCCAGACTGAAGAATGGTTAGAAGCAAAAATGTCGACTGATACGCTATGTGCAGGTCACAACAAGAAATTAGCCATTTCGGTCTAAAGACAGTAGTGCCCTTTTGGCAGGACTGCGGTGGTGGAGTGTGGGGGGTGATATACTCACCCTCCAAATTTCAGGCCAATCGGTCAATAAATAAGGCCGGTATTGCAAAAATAAAACACTAGAGGTATCAGGAGCACAGAAGTGAGAGGAGACAATACCGAATTTTTCTAAGTCCAAAATAGCGGAGATGGAACAGATTGGAAACAATCTAGCAGAGTTGGAGATGGAGGCGATGTTAAAGGGAGAGATACCGAGCAGACAATCTCTACAAAGGACCCCACCCCATGGGCAGGAGGAGCAGAGAAAGAGGAAGGAGTCGTGTGCGGGGATATTAGAATTCGAGTCCCCGGAGGACGTTAGTAAGACGGTAAGGGAACTGGGAAAATGAGGGGGTCGTACAACGGAAGTGGGGGATAAGGAAGGAGGTCTCCAAACTTATCTATGAGAGAGTATTGAAGAGTACGATTTTGTATGGGTGTGAGGTATGGGAAGTAAGGCCGAATGACAGCAGAGTAAGGAAGCAGTTGAGTGCATTGATGGTTGGAAGGGTATATCGGACCGTGGCGACAGAAAGCCTGGAATTGTTGAACGAGATGATCTCTGAATATAGTAGCATATAAAATATGGATACTGAGGAAGAATGAGCGACGAATGAGTGGGGACTACAAGGTGAGGGGTGAGGACAAACCTCACCCGGCTTGGGATGTCAGCGTGAGTGGAACACAACCGAACGAGGCAGGATGGAAGATATATGTGGACGCGAGAGTGGACGATGATAGAACATTCGTGGGTATGGTGACAACGCGGTGTAGCCAGGTCCAGGTTCAAGCTTCCGAAAGAGTTGGGAGAGTTTCCTCGTCCTTGCTGGGGGAGCTCTCCGCTATCTACAGGGGGCTGGAATCAGAGATACGACTACGTGCGGACATCCTGGAGGTATTCACAGACTGCAGAGTGGCGGTTGACAGCTTGCAGAGCTACTGAATGAAAGGGAAGATGCGAATGAAGATTAAGACGCTGATTGGAAGGTTGAGAGTGGAGGGGATGCATGTGGAGATAAAATGAATCGAGAGGGGAGCATGTGAGTTTATGAAAATGGTGGCTGACAGAAGAGCGCGTGAGGGGAGGCAGAGAGACAGGGTGGATTGGCATAATGAATGGGGGTACGAAAGACGTACTAGGAGAAAGAGCATGGAGGAGCGTATGATGCAATTATGGCAGATTAAATGGGATGCAAGCGTGAAAGGGAGGGAGCTTTGTAGGGAGGTTGTGAATGACTGTTTGCCCGTCAGATTTAAAGCTGGACAGCTGGTGACGGGACACGGTAACTTCCCGGCCTACCTACATAGGTTTGGATTGATGAGAGGGAGTACGGTCTGCGAGTGTGGAAGACGGGATGAAAGCGCAAAGCATATTAGAGAAGAATGCGGGCTGGAAGGGAGACAGGATGCTAGGGAGCGTGTGAGGCACATATGGAGTGGCTTCAGATCACAGTTGAGGGTGGAAGGGAAGGTGAATGATAGGGCAATTGAATTGGTGAATGAATGGGCGGAAAGAGTGGTGATGGATGGACAGCGGTGAAGCTTTTCTTCATTGGAGAATTGTATTTTAGTTTAGGGTGTTTTCTTTTCTATATTATGTTTCATTAGGTGTGAATTGAATTTTAGTTTAATAGGTAATTGTCAGTTTAGGTTTTTGGGTTACGTTGTTGATGTTTATTTTATACTTTGAATAGGAACGCCCCCCAAAAAAAATGGGGCTCTTTCCTCGCTAATTTTTTGATGGCGGCGGTTGGTGGGTTCCTTTGGTAGTGGTTCTGCTAGAAGCAGTGGGAAGGCACACGGGTTAAAACCGAAAGGTGGGCAACTAAAGACGTATTCGTTGAGCATGATACGCTATGGGCATATTACCCGTACCTATGGGTAATATGGCATCATGCGTTGGGGAATATGGCAACATGCTTTTCTCGTAAAAACTGAACTACTTTTTTTTAGGTTAGAAAAAATATATAATCCTTACAACGTAACAAGTATTATTAAGTAATACAACGAGGCTAATAAACCTTATCTCCAGAACTCTGGAGGTATTCGCTAGTTGATTTAGTGGGACACAATCGCTACAATATATGTCTGAAGGAGTCCATACCTCGTGAACCCAATCATGGCATTTTCAACATTGCAACCAATTACATTTGGGACCTTTTTTATCAAAATAGTATCCACCGCATTGGGCACAAAATTCTTATACATCATGTTCCAATTCTGAGTCCCCACTCTCTACTATAGGCTTATTACATTGTACCTTATTACATCAAAAAGTGGCAATACTACTATTTTATTTATATGTATTTAACGGATTGTTCCGCCAAGAAAAGTTAGGTTAGGAATCGTATGTTGGCATATTCTTATTAAAATTGGATCAAGAACACTTACAACTTCTTTGATCACTGAGTATAACTTGACTTGAGGGTATTCTTTAAACGGTCCTTACCTTTAAACTGTCGATATTCACAAAAAAACTAATTAATTTGATTTCTGAGGTATTCACAGAAAATTGCTACATTAGAAGAACGTGTTACAATTAACACTGTCGCCAAATATGGGCTTAAAAGGAAAATAACAAGCTGCGACGTATTACACAGCGCGGCATATTCCCCCACGATGGAAAATACATAATTATAAGCTTTAATTTGTTTAGCCCATTTTGATAGATATTTGTTAATCATGCCACATTGACAGTTTAGAATATTTTTTTTCTTGTAAGCAATATTTTAAAATGAAAATATCACTTGTGACGTCGTCGGAAAGGGAATTTTGCATAGAGTACGATTGTGGAAGAAAATATACAGGTTTCCATTTGAAAAACGAAAGTCTGGATCACTTCCGGTTAAACCGGAAGGGAGAGGTAACAAATTCAAATTTCCAGAAATGCCTCTTAATGACTCACTAAACATGTCCCATCTTGGAGCGATATCTTTATTTTCCAAAAAATACAGCGTGTTTCCAATTTTCATTGTCAGCCGGTACAGTATTCATTTTTTTTATTCTGTAAGAGAATCTATATGCATTTTATGTATTGCATCCTACACCCAATTCTAACCGATTTTGAGATCTCGAGCGACAAAAGTAGGCATATGAATGAATTATAACAACCTTTTCTAGTATTTTTGCCTTTGCCGTAATAAGAGGTTACGGGGATTTAGTTGAATGAGGATCTTATTGAATGTTGCAAAAATGTGGAACCGATAAAGGTAGAATATTTAGAATGTTTCTACAAGATGATTTAATGAGTAATTGTAATCGCAAGGACTGACCCAGCTGGTGACCAGTTGATGACGAGCCCTACTTTTCCCCCGCATTTCTTCACACGCCAGGTGCTGCTTGCAGGCGAGTGTTCGACAATTTGAGGTTCCGTTTGGAAGATTGTTCCTAACACTCTCTTAGGTATAACCTGCTTTCATTTACATTGTTTTATTATTGCCACCCTGTAGAAGACTGATCTAATAGTATGAAGTAATCACTTCAAATATAGCTTAAAAAGATTCTCTTGATACAACGTTGGAAAAAATACCAACAAAAATTGAGGCAGTCGTAAGGAAGACTCGCAGAAAAAACGCCATTTTGTGTGTTGAGGTTAGCGTTAGCCCCCCTAGCAGCCATCTGAGGAATCGGAAACTTGCAATTTCTCATGTCAAAGAACTATTCCAATGGGTCTGTGTTGTCATCAGTGACTGACATTACATATCTATGGCCTTGATGGCCTCATTGATTTTCATAGTTTTTCTAAGATATTTCGGACGGACAAAACTTGATTTTTATCAACAGTTTTAACTGAAATCTCTTAAGATAAAAAAGGAAAACATAACCTCACAATAGACGAGCGCTGACGCTGACAAGGAACAATAGAAATCTAGAAATACCCCAGCTTTTTGAGGAAAAGAAAATTCTATGAAAATCAAGGAGGCCATAAACCACAATAATTGCAGATACGGCTGACGATACGCCCCTTAGAGCCGTCAGTCATGAGTAATTTCAGATTTGCCTGATGCGGAATGCATCGAAATAATTAAAACATGTATATCCTTGAATATACTAGCCGTCGATACATGGTATGCCTAAATCACCCAGCTCAAACTAGATTTTGAAGCATGAAATATATGAGACGAAGTGGGAATTTGTTAAGACGATGTATGTATATGTATATACTCTGTACTATTTATTTAACTTAATTTATTCTAATTTAGTTTTCTGTTCGTGGATAATAAAGATTCAAAACCGTATAAGTGTTTTCTTGCTACAGGGGTTTCTGTGTCGAGTCTGATACGAGGGTTGTCTCAAAACGCTGTATCTTTGCTGCACATAATATTAGGTGAAACCTGGCAACACCGTCGTGTTTATCGGCTCCCCCACCACCGATCCCAATAAGAAGCGCCTATTGGCGACGCTCAGTACCTGTCTGACAGCCATGCGCAATGGAGCGCTTCATCTGCATCACCGCCAGATATGAAATTCGTGCGGTCATCTGATCTTTGCACGCAAAAACGTTACCACCCATAGAAATTCATCGCCAGTTGAGTGAAGTATACTGAGTGACAAAAAAGGTGAACAACTACGTATATACTAAGTGACATATAAATCCGAACACCCAGTTTAAATGGTTTTATTTTAATAAAAGTTGGTGAATGTATTTATCTTACTGTAAATAACAAGTGAAAAAATTTTCAGCCTTATCAGTTGGACATTCCGGTTTTTATACTGCTTTTTTTTAATTCATTAACGCTCTAAAAATGAATATTTCAGCCGCAGTAAAGAATCAACGTTGGCGGATTTTGGTTCTTGACATCCTTTTCAATCGGTTACGATGCCTAGAGTACGGAGACCTGTACGATTTCGTCAACTTAGTGAGTTTGATAGGGGCCGTATAGTGGGACTTCGGGAAGCTAGACTTTCTTTTCGGGCAATTGCAGTTAGAGTGCAAAGAAGTGTAGACACTGTGGTTAGGTGTTGTCAGGCATGTCTTCGAGAAGGCCGTACGCAAAGAGCAAGGGGCACTGGATGCCGCCGTAGAACAACAGACCGTGAAGATCGCCGCCTAAGATTATTGGCCTTAAGGGACCGTTTCTCCACTACCAGGTCCATTGCAAATGAATGGTTTGCAGAACACGGAAGACCTATTGGCATGCGAAATGTTTACCGACGAATGAGAAGTTTTGGCTTGTTTTCATACCGGCCACACTGGGTCCTCCCTTTAACTCGAGAACACCGACGTAATCGCCTTGAGTGGTGCAGACAACGATCACTCTGGGATCAGGAATGGAACAGTATTGTCTTTAGTGATGAGTCTAGATTTTGTTTAGGCATGCACGATGGTCGTGCCAGGGTTAGAAGGCGACGTGGTCAAAGGAGGAATCCACAGTTTTTTGTTGAAAGACATGTTCATCACACTGTTGGAGTTATGGTTTGGGGTGCTATAGCTTATGGTTCCAGGTCACCTTTAATCTTCATCAGAGGTAACATGAACGCGCAGCGTTATATCCACGAAGTTCTAGAACCCCATCTTTTACCCTATCTTGACACCCTGGCGGATCCAACTTTCCAACAAGATAATGCCCGACCACATGTTGCAAGAGTCACAATAGACTTCTTTCAACATAATGATGTCACATTGTTACCATGGCCACCAAGATCTCCCGACTTATCCCCAATTGAGCACGTGTGGGATATGATGGGTAGGAGATTGCTCAATTTGCAACGTCCTCCTCAGACTCTAGAAGCACTTCGAGAGGAGTTGGTGGTTGCCTGGAATGAGATACCACAGGAGGACATTGACCACCTGATCAGAAGCATGCCTAGGCGCGTTGGAGAATGCGTAGCACATCAGGGTGCATCCACACATTATTAAAGGTCAAAGGGCTTTAAAGCAGTGCAATCATTTTGAAATTTTTATCATTTACTTATTATGCTTCATTAAGTACTTATACAAAA